GTTACTTTCTGAGCTCCTTGGCATCTGAGCATGGATATAAAGTCATCAGGTAGATTTCAATGGTAATGTTTTTCACATCTACTAGTTATTAAGGAGCAAATTTTTATGCTTTGAAGAACCTTTTTTATTTATAGACCCACTTCCCAGGTAGCACCCTCCCATAGCCTCCTTCCCCCGACTAGAGTTCTTATACTCTGATATCCCTGCTACTGTCTGCTGTGTTGTGGCATCCCCAGCCATTCCCCACTACTTGCCCTTCTGGTGAATCTAGTCAGCCTATCTAGAGGTCTTTGTTTTAAGAGGGTCAGCTCTTCTTCATCTAGCGGTAATCAGTTATCTATAATACTTTGGATAAGATTGGGGTCTGCTGTTCATTTTCCCAGTTCTATGCTGGGTTACTATCTGGGAATCCCTTTGGCCACCCTGGCCATCAACTCAAAAGAAGGTATCGCTTGTCTGGCATTGTTGCTTGTTATGTAGCCTTTAGCTATACATATGGACTCTTATGAAATTATGTTGGCCCATTTAATCTTTGGTTATACTTTCCTTTTGGGTGTTTAAGGCCATACAGTTGGTCCAGATAAAACCAATTTATTTTTACTCTTAAGGTTGTTTGAGGATCTGTTCCTCAGGGATCCCATGGGCTTGGGAGGAGCCCCTGGCTCCTTTCTTTTACCAGTTCCACCTATGTGAAGATAAGTCAAAGGTCCTGCTCGACCATGGTTGGCTTCACTTGGAAGCGTGGAGGAAATGATTCCTCTCTGTTGACCCTCCTTTTTATAGACTGGACACTAGTTCAAGTCCATCTCGTGGGGTCTCCTCAGCTTCCTTGATCAAGAGGACAGGTGACCCACCACCATTATAGGACATTTTGAGAAATGCTCATAGTCCCCTGGAACTAGTCAACCTAGGAGGGCAAGGAGCAAAAAGTGTCCTTTATGTCCCTCTGACCAAATTATTATAGACCTCAAAGTATGTCTGTTAAACACCGAAGAAGGTTAGTTCCACCAGTCTGGTATTTATAATTACTGTGTGTCACGTAGATAAATCTTGGGCAAAGATCAGTTCTCAGATAAACCTTACCTAGACATATATTTCTTGATCTGCTATGT